TTGCTACAGCTGTAAAGATAGAAAAGCTGATAGCACGGGACCGTTTCTCCTGGTATACAGAAAGGTGTTTGATGCTGTAGTTTGTTCTTCTGCTGGTGGAGCAAGGGGCAGGTCCTGCCTGCGGGCCACATTGCGTAATCCCTGGCTTCAAAGGGGTGGCTGCAGGAGGAGCAGGGGACCAGTGCTGTACTGGAGAAGCCGGGCCTGGGGCTAGCAGCACCCCCCCCCCCCCCCCCCCTAAAACATACATGGAAAATAAATGCTGTTTTGCTGGTCTGTGAGTATCTCAGGGTTTTGGTTACGCAGACAGGTCAGTCTGGGCTTGCACCTTGCCCTGTCCAGGGCTCGTGGGGGTGCCCCGAGAGACACCGGGTCTCCTCAGGGCACCTTGTCCCTGCCACCCTCCGCCCACACTGGTTGTCGCTGCAGCAAATGGATTTACCGGTGTCAGGATGCACAAGTGTGAGTTTTAGCGGCCCAGTGGAAATCGCTGCCAGGTTCAGGCTGGTGCACCAGACCCTGCTCTGCGTCATTTTTATTCTTCTGCTGACATCTAGTGTGTGAAAACCTGTAGAACAGCGTGCGGAGTGGGCTGGGAGGTGTGGGTATGGGACAAATAGGAGCGTGCATGGCCAAACAGGCACCAGCATCTTCCCCCAGTTCCTCCATGGGAGCCTCCGTGACCCAGGTGACCACACGATCCTGCGGGCTGGTGCTGACTGGTGTTTTCAGGTAGAGCTGCTGAAAATTAATCCTAACTGGAGCAGGAGAAAGAATTCGAAGTGGATTGTTATCCAAGCCTCTTGCTCAACATACCCTGTTTCGATGGGTGGTGAATGTGCCAGTTGAAATAAGGAGCTGCTGCATCATCATGGAGATGTGTCCTCCGCCCAGGGTCTACGTCTGGGGTGGCAGCTCTGCAAGGTGCTGTGCATCTGTGCTGGATGGGGAGGAGAGGGGGGAACGGGAAGCTGCGGCTCCCTGGGTTTGCCACTCTCCTCCTTATTCTTCTCCTAGTCAGAACTTGTGGTCTAGTCTCCAAACAAACTCAGGTCAGTGAGTTCTCCTGTTAAAATAAGTAATTTTTAATGTCTGCTGGTGAATAATACTTATTAATGTCAGCTTACACCCTGGCCTAGTATTCTTGCTGTCTGCCTCGATAGACAAGAGTGTCGGGAGCCGCAGGGCGCTGATGGTGCCCCAGACGTGGGGTTGGTAACTGTGGCTCTGTCTCCCGGTGCTGCACTGAACCCACGAGCTGGACCTGGTCCCTGGGGGCACAGTGGTAACCTCTGGAGGTGTCAGGTGACACTGGCTGACCTTAGCTTTGCCCCCTGTACACGTTGCTCCCTGGTAGCTTAAATTTTTTCATTTCATTGTGTTTCTCCTACGTCGTGACAGGAGCCCAGCTTTTGGCATGTGGGGCTGTTATCACTTTATCATTCCTCCAGCCTTCAGCAGGCTTCTCTTGAGCACCCAAAATGACCCAAACTCAGGCTGTTGCTGTAGGATGAGGCGGGGAAGCTCCCCATGCACCAAAGCGTCACGGAGGACAGAGGGGAACCCGACTCAGACCTGCCCCATGCCCTGCCTGGTCTTGTCCCCATGGTCACTGGCATGCAGCACAGCACCCATGGGCAGGGGTGCTCTGAGTCTGGGCACACCAGCACCCACCCGGGGCACCCACTTCTGCCCCACGGGAGAGTGGCAGTCCCTCGTTCCAGGCTGGTCACAGTAAATCCTCCTAACGCTGTTATGGGATGTCCAGCGGCTTCAGGGCTCTGTCCTGCCGCATCACAGGATGGAGAGGGGCAAGTGCTCCCCTGTCCTCCCACATAAAAAGTGCTTGAATATAAAAAGTGCTGTGGGAAATTTCATACTGAACTGTTTACACCACTGTTCACATGACTTTATTTTGTAAAAAACCTCTCAAATCTTGCCAGACGTCAAGGTTTATTTCCCCATCCTGAGGATATTTAATCCTCATCTCGTTAACTTTCATTTTAATGTACAATTGCTAAGGAGAGAAAATAACCAAAATATTTTTGTCTTAGGGAAAAGATCAGATATAAATTTATCCTGAAGCCATCAGAGATGCTTATCAGCATGTTTTTCTCTCTTCCCTGGCTGCAGGAGCTTGCAGAAGAACCAGTTTTGCTCGGCTTTGGCTTTCTGAGAGAAGAGATGATTGCTGGAGAAGTTCAGCTGGGCAGCAAGTCCCTGCTCGGGACGGGTTGATGATTTGAGCATGGGATAGGAAACGCAAAGCATCACTGCGTGGGATCACATTGGGGTGCCCTGGGCAACGGAAGGACTTGGCTCTAAAAGAAGGAGAGAGATTTTTTCCCAACAATTTATGTAGAGAAACATCCTCCGAGTAGGGTGTAATTTATTTCTGTAGTTGAAACCATGTGCTTCTCGCTTTCAGCTACAACCAGCCCAGGTTTACAAAATCAAAACCAAAAGTGTTAAGTGAGATTATTAAGCCAAATCTGACCTTATTTTTCAGACCTTGCTGAGGCCGTGCCCAGGCACAGGGCTGTCTGGAGGTAGAGCACATCTGGGTAATGGGTGAAAACGAAGCCTGGCAAAATAACTTTTTGCAAAGATGGAATGAACTTTGCTTAAAAACCCAACTTTTGCCAAAACAATCTTTTGCTGTACACCACATCAGCGAAAAACAGTAGGAAGGGGCAGTTCTTTTTTCCCATTTTGGTGCCTTCCAGCCACCATTCCCTTGCATTTCCTGCTTTCTGTCTGAGGTTAAAGCAGGAGAAGCACGCTCCAGCTGCTGCAGGCCAACGCACAGCCAGCGATGGAGGTGGAAGGGGGACGGCTGAGACGGCTCAGGGGGCAGATGGGGCCGAGCAGGCAGATTCCTCGCAGAGCTGCCCTGCCATGGCAAGGACGGAAAGAGTCAAGCTGTGGTGTTGCTGGAGGAGCTCAGGTGTGGCTCTGCTTTCCTTCCTGGCCTCAGCATCGTGGCACCACTTGCCAGGCTTTGGGGAGAGGTTAGGAAATGCCTGTTCCCGGAGAGCTGCCCCCAAACCTGGGGCTGGAGGGTCCCACCCCTGCGGGGCAGCATCTTCCTGGGGACAGACTGCCCTGGAGGACATCATCGGTGGGGAAGGCGAAGCAGATGGTGCACCCAGATTTGCCCTGCACAGACTGGTTTTGAAGACTCTGTGAAAGCAGCCAGTGCTCAGGAGAGCAAAAAAGATGAGATTTACCATGACTGCTGCTTGGCCAGGGAGGAGGAGGAGGTGGTGACGTCCTGCCTCGCCTGCCCAGAGCATCACCAGGCTGCCTGGGGAGCAGCGAGCTGCAGAGCTGCTGGACGTGCAGCCCCTCTGAGGACACCAAGCTGCCGACCCACGGGTTAGAGAACTCACCTCTATAGCTGAAAACCTGGCCATGGGTGAACAGCCTGCGTAAGTGAAGACTAAATATTTTTAGGGGTAAGCCTAGAAGCAAGTTTGATGATAGATAAGCGGGAAAGAGCGAGGTTTGAAAAATGATGCTTTGTCCTTTCTCTGTATGGATTCAGTTTCTCCCCCTGGGAGGAGGAGGGGTCCGCTTCCAAAACAAGCGGTCGTTGCCAGTGAGGGCATGGAAAGTTTAATAAAACTGTTGGTCCTGTGCATTTGCCAGATGCTGTGGCTGGTGCTGTGCAAAGGGCATCCCGCGCTGCCCCTGCTGCCCAGAAAGCTCTGCTGAGGAGTGAGGGTCAAACAGCCTGAGGGGGGAGTCCACGTCTCCAGAGACCCCAGTGACCTCACCTGGCAGGGATCCCTCTCGCCCAGGTTTAGGCGCCTGCCCTAAGATGTGCTAGGGCAGTTGGCAGGGCTGGACCACGCACCGGTTCCCTGAGGCCAGGCATTGCCTGCTTGGCAGCTCTTCTTCTATCCCTCTCCAGGTTTCAGGCTGGAAGGTGGGTCTGAATCCCTTCCTCCAGGTGAAAGCCTGGATGGGGTGGCTGTTTTATGCTTCTCTTTAGCACTTTTTAAAATCATGGGTGGTAGGATTGTATTCCTACAGGCACATCACCTGTGTTCGCTTATTAACAAACATTTTATTTCCTGCTGCTGCAGAGAGCTTTCTCAGGCTTTGAAGGAAGGCAACAAAGCTGGACAATACGGGGTGATGAGTTCAGGTGATGTTAAAAAGGGGCAGTCATCCAAGCTGGATGGTGACCTGGTCCTTTCTGCTGGAGAGGACCCCACTCCAGCTCCAGGAATCCAACGTCTGGCACACGGCTCACAGAGTTTCCTCTCCTTGGTCTTCTGACCTCGGAGAAGGTGGGTCAGTGATGGCTCTCTGGTTTGTTCACAGAATGAACTTCTTTAGACCCACATGAACTGTGATGGGAAGGCAAAGTCTCTTGAGAAAACAATTCTCAAACTACAGAATAGCACACGGTAAGGTAGAACAGAGCTGGATTTGCTCCCAGCTTGCTGTTGGTGCCACAGATGATCTGTCTCCCTGTAAATTGATGATAGTCACAATTCTGCCCAATTTCTATTGGGTAGCTTCTAGGCGGCATCAACAGAGAAGCACAGGCAGAGCTCCTTACAACACCGCTTGTCACCTTAATTCTCAAACTACAGAATAGCACACGGTAAGGTAGAACAGAGCTGGATTTGCTCCCAGCTTGCTGTTGGTGCCACAGATGATCTGTCTCCCTGTAAATTGATGATAGTCACAATTCTGCCCAATTTCTATTGGGTAGCTTCTAGGCGGCATCAACAGAGAAGCACAGGCAGAGCTCCTTACAACACCGCTTGTCACCTTCGGCAGTGTGAGCCACAGTGGAAGTTAAGAACAAAACCAGCCACAGTGGCTGCCCAGTGTGACCAGCTTTGTAACAAACTTTCTCGAAAAGTGGCCTCAGACCCTTATTTCAAAGCTACTGCAGCCACAACTGCCTCTGCGCTCTTGAGTTTCCCATTTGTGATAAGACACTGGAGTCACCAGTGTTTGCCTGGGGTGGAGAGGGGACAATGGCAGCAGGAGATGACTTGAAGGACAGTACAGCAGGTGACTTTTGTCTCATAGGTGTCTGTCTCTGCCTCACAGGAGGGTTTAGGCTGCTGCTGGTGGCAGTGGGGACAGCCCAGCAGGAGGCAGTGGCCTTTCTGGAGGAGGAGAGCATGGCTATGAACAGGATGAAGATCCACTTAAAGCACAAGTGAGCCTTTGTTGAGGATAAGCTCAAACTGGAGAAGATGCCCGCTCACTCTAAGGGCTTCTTCTTAAAAGTAGGGTAGTTTGACGTGTGTCTCACTATGGTAGCTGGAGGGATGCAGAGCCGGGAGAGCAGTGTCTGCCCTTACCACCGCCGGGTGCCATACCCACCCACAACTGCCTCCAACGCGCAGTCATAGCCGAAACAGCTGAATCTTCTTGTTTATTTTGTGTCTAGGAGTGCTGTGAATTCAGGAAGACCTCCAGGTTGGATGCCCTCCCCCCACATCGGGCTGAAGGACAAACGGTCTCGAATCAGGTGGGTCATCATGGAGACCGACACCTGCTTGTACTTCTTTTTGCAAAGCTGTACCTGAGGGCATGTGCTTGCTTATCAACAGCTCTGTGCTACCACCAAGTGGAAAAAGCAAAGGCCCAGAAAAGTGCACGTGAACCAGGCTGGAGCCCGCGGTATTGCCCTTTGTCTGTGACAAGATCGTCGCTTCAGATCTGCAACATTATACTGGCTGCTGTGACAGCAAGCGCAACAGGCCAGGAACTTCTTGATTTTTTTTTATTTGCTGAAACTGGAACTTTTCAGAGGTCCTGATAAAACTTTGCTTAAGAACGTGTTTCAAACCCAGCAAGGACTTTCTTGTCAGACCTAGAGAGAAACAGCCAGATAAAAAGGGCATGAACTTGCAGTGTGAGCAACAGAGACCAAACTCCCTGCTCACCTCGCTCGAGACAGCCCACCGACCCGGTGAGCCCCCTGAGACCGGGGTCAGGCCGGGAGCTAGCCCTGCTTTATCTTCTGGTGAAAAATGTCAGGTCTCCTCTTGACAGGCAATGGGAGAACGCTGGTGATTACAAGCTGTTTTCGGAGCTGACAGCGCTGTTTCTTGCTTGGCGTTAGTGACGGGTGGTGATGAGGCGTTAGCAGGTTGCAGGATGATCAAAGGGAGAGGGGAGGGATTCTCCAGACTGCGAGCGATGCAGAGTCTCCCTCCAACTCCACTCTAGAGCAGAGGGCAAGAAAGCCCAGGGGGTTCTGCCTCCCCGCTTTGGCTTTGGCCTGGTCTTTCTTTAAAATGATAAACGGTAGCAGTCAGCTGATAATGATTTAGTATGTGGAAAGCCTGAGCTTTATCGGTGTCCCTATCCTGGCTCCTTTGAAGCTCCCTGTAGAAATCTCATGAGCAGCAAGACATAAACTGGCTGAGCTTGTACCTGGCCAAGGTCGTGTGGCTGAGCCTCATAAATCCCACCCGTTTATACACACCGGCCCGGTGTCCTCGGCAAAGGAAAAGCTACCAGGTGCCAGCAGCGAGGAAGAGCAGGGCTTGTGCTGGCTGGGGTCAATCTTGAGAAGTGCTTTGCACCCCAAAAGTCAGCAGAGATGGGGGCTCAAGCATG